CGTTCTACATAATTATTTTCAGATCTGTATCTAGCTAAATTTTTATTAATAATAATACTTCAACAAAAATTGTTCTTTCCACATAGTGATAAAAGTTAAACCGTGATAATATTTCGCACGTTGTGATGAATATTTCAAGTTGTTTATCAATTGAAGGAAATACTATGCTAATGATAGAATAATCACGCAGAAACTTTCCCTCTTTTATGTCTCGTTCGCACTTATCATGGGGATAACTCACTCCCTATCATTTTGCATGGCGTTTCTTGAAATTAAAAAAAACTTGAGAAAACTTGTTCGTATATACATACTTCTTGTACTTGTGCAATATGTATTACATTATGACATGCATAAATATATTCAAAAAATATTGTTATTTCATTTAATCAAAGTTTTCCTAACTTTTTTAGAAATACTCATGAGGATTGATAATTTATAATAACAAATATGTTTGTTATTATAATATAAAACCACGATTGATGTTTTAAAATATAAAAAATTGCATAGAGTTGCAAAATGTAGAAACAAATATCAAGATGAAAATAATCTGGTCGGCAACAGTCGAGCGCAACATATCGTTCAGCAAATATTTCGATAAATCAGCGAGACCATGGCGAAAAGCGGCACGGCGTAGTAGCAAGGTATACAACACATATCTTAACGTCGTATAAATCTCCCACTGGAAAATTACACCAATGCGAGATAGACGAAGAGATCGCGAAAGAAAGGATGAGAAGGAAAGTTTGCATCGAAGGTGGGCAAGCAGAAGCGAGAGTAGGGAGAGCATAGAAAGCACGAGACTCCCCTCGATCGGTAAAGGTGAGGTGGCTCCGAGAGTAGAGGGCGAGGCGAGGCTCGAAGATCCCGGGTTGGGGTAAAGAGTATACTTCCCCTCTCCTTTTGCAATCCACCACCCCCATCACCTTCTCCTTTACCAATACTGCCATCACGATCACCACCAGCACTATTCCAAATCCAGTAGTAGTAGCAATAACAGCGACAGTACCAGTAGGAGCAGCAGCTTCGGCGACAGTGGCGGTGGCGATAGCGATAACAGAACGCAGCTGTAGCGGAGGCAGCGGAAGCGTCGGTGGCGGCTGCGACGGTGGCGGCAGTGGTGGCAGCGGAGGTAACAGCAGCAGGAGCAGCAGCTTTCCCCACTTCAGAAGAAAAGCACTTTCATAAATCTGCCAGCAGATATATGTGCGCACAATTTCCGAGATCCGGCCATTAAAGAGCCGCTCCTCGGCTATACCTCCCCCTACCTCGTCCATTTCTGCCGCTTCTATCGCCCTGAACCAACCGGTCCACCCTCCTCCTCTGCCGCCCGTTATCCACCCCCCCCTAGCCGCCGAAGCGGCGTGGATATAATGCGGCCGGGAGCCTGAAAGTAATTCTCTCCGTGGTTATATCTTGATCTCATCCCCACTCCGTTACCTCTTCCTCCGCCGCCTCCTCTTTCTCGCACAGCCACCCTCAGAGAGAAACCCTCGAAACCATTGCTATGAAGAATAAACGGCTAAGCAATGCCAGCGAGCCCGCGATCACCCTCCCTTTCCCGCCTACCTCATCTACCATTCCGCTCCTTTCCACCTGAACCTTCCCCGGTTTACCCCGAGCCGAAAACTCAACGCGTTTAGATAACGTACTGAAATGCCTCACGGCACACTCCTCCGCCTACCCCACCTTCTTGCCCCCTTCCTACCTTCGTTTCCACCTCTGCACACCACGTGGAATTCACCCTTTTCTCGACGTTCACACAACAGGCGAGGGGAAGGAGAGTAAGGGCGCGCGGGATGAGTATGCCCCGGATATCCCGCGGCGTGGAGTAACACGCTGTAAACAGTTTACTTCTAAATCGGCGAGTTTCCTATATATTTTCAGATAGGGGCTGACTTATGCCCGCCGACGCCCCTGGTAAGCGTCGACCGTTTTTAAAGATTTATCTTGGCGCAATACGCCGACACGAGGGGCTGCGCCATTGCATCGAGCCACAAGCTTTTGCTTTGAAAACGTTCTTACAGAAAAATCTTAAGAGCTGGCAGTTTCATTAAGCTCCACAATAGTTGAGAAAAAAATATATAAGCAAATATTATCATGATTGCTTTCATCCGTGTTAAATTTTGAAAATAAAAGTGAGATAATATATGTCTATTCTTATTTACATTATTATTTTAGATAACTAATGTGTTAATATTATTTGCTATATTTTCTTATCATTTACACATATGGTATATAATGTGTCGGTAATATTTGCTATAGTTTCTTATCATTACCCATTTAAAAAATCAATTATAAACAAATAAATCATTTCTAAATATATTAGATTTAATGGTTTCATATAATAAAATTAACTGATTATTCTTATATTATAAAAAATTTATTACAAGAAAATATTTAATAGGAATATGTAATTTGTCCAAATTATTTTATTTTGTCGTTATGTTTAATATATTATGGAATTATCATTTACGATATAAACTAATGACAATGTCAAAGAATACAAGGTACAGCTTTGTGCACTTTCCTAATATAATTTACTCTTTTATATGATATGATACTTTTTATGTTTATTAGATTAGATAGACATTTAATAACAGTGATATTACATGCAAAATCAATAATAGAACCTCTTTCATCAATGTTCATGATGGGACAAAGCTTCCTGCGAGAGGAAACAGATGAGCGTCTCAACTACAGCATATTATACAGATTAGTTACCTCACTTGTATCTAGAAAGGGGATATTATTTATCTTTGTAAATCCTTCCCTACCCTTAAGAAACATCCAACTATACCTAAGATAATTTCCCTCTTCCCTCTTTCATATACATATCTGTTATATTTCTTAATTTATAATTTATAGTAACATTGTCTAATTTAAATTAAAATCTTATCTAAATTAAAAATCGTAATATTATGATCTCAAGAGAGTCGGAAATCCATAAAAAAGACAAAAAAGAAGAGTTGAGAAAATCTATTTCTGTTCCTATCTGTTATTTCCTAATTTATTTTCGGTCCTATCTGTTATTTCTTAATTTATAATTTATAGTAATATTGTCTTTGACCTAATTTGAATTAAAATCTAATTTAAATTAAAAATCGTAACATTATAATTTCAAGAGAGTCGAAAATCTGTAGAGAAGACGAAAAAGAAGAGTTGAGAATCTATTTCAGTTGACTAATACAGATGAATTGGTACATAATAAAATCTATTACAGTGATAAGATTTTTCCAATGTTCCAAAAATAGAATATGAACCAATAATGAGATCAACACAGTATTAATAAAAATTACAAAGAAGAGTTAAAGATATATTAAAAAAAAATATCAACGCAGAGTGGCTATCCGGCTTCCAGTACAATAAAATTTGATAAAGAAGGACAAAGTTTGTAATACAGTATTCTCGGCTCTCGTTCTCAGCGCAGCTATGAAGCTTTTGGTCGTAGTAAAATAGAAGGAGAAAGCGGGAGCGAAAAAGGAGAACGCGTTTCTATAAGCGTAGCGAGGCACCGTTACCTCTAGTCGCAACTTTCAACACAAAAAAGAAAGTTTAGTTAGATCTAAATCACATTATTGTTGTTGGAATCATCACAATAGCACAAAATGTATCAATGACTCACTTATATCAATTTTGAGAAATAATATTTAGCAGTTTCATGTGTATCAAGTTGCATATAACAAATTTTACAAAATGAAAAGTTACATATATGTATATAAACTTATATTTACATATGCCATATAATATATATAACTTTATCATATTTAATTACTTATTGTAAACAACAATATTTCGTAATTATGATATTACAATTAATGTGAAATATGCGTAACATTCGTTTACTAAATTTTTTAAATTTAAATATATTTAAATGTTTATATTTATCAAAATCCATTTATTAATATATACATTTTTAGAGAATTAATTAAATGTATTTTAGTATTAAAATAAAAGAACTAGAGATATAATCATAAATATATATGTATAAACATATCTTATTTACATATAATAATATATAGCTTTACTTTATTTAAGAGATGAAAAAAATATTTAATTTTTACACAATTTGACGTCTGTCATTGCTCGCGAGCCGCTTCAATCTTGTAAAGAGATGCTCGAAACCAGACAAAACTGACCCTGAAGAGCTAAAGACTATCTACGGGTGGGTAAATATGACTCTACCACATACGACCCTCACCTGTTTCGCTGTCTGGGATCTAATTCAGGGGAAAAGCGAGGAATAGTAAGGAAACGGAGAAATACGGAAATGACGAAGATGAGAGAGAAAGAGAAAGATAAAGAAAAGCATAAAACGAAAGAAGGATAGATAGAAGAGCAGAGAGAGAAGGCGAGAGAGAGAGAGAGAGAGAGAGAGAGAGAGAGAGAGAGAGAGGCAGAGAGATGAGGAGAAGGTGAAATACATCAAGATTGCATCCCCACTCAACATCGCGGAGGACGGGAGAGGACGTTCTCCCCTTCTCGTGGTCGTTGCAGGGGAACGTGAGGGAGATTGTAGGTGGATGAGGAGGTAAAGGACGACGGGAGAGTGGGTGATGGTGGTGGTTGTGGCTGAATTCAACGGGGTGTACCGTCTCTGTTGCCAGCCCCGCCCGTCATATTCCGCGAGGGCCAATCCCGCGAGCTCTTTTTATTAGATCCATAAATCCATCATATCGAGCTCACCCCATGGACCATACGCCCTCGCGTACTCATTGGTCGGCATTATGATCTCACACCTACGAGATCGCAAAGGTTTATGGCAGTGCGCGATCTAGATCCGCCGTGCCTTTGGCGCATTGCGGACTTTTCTTCACCCCGCCTCGTTATTAATATTGAATTTTTCCTCCGTGAGAGAAGAGCGACCGGGACGAGAAGACCGAGAAGCACCCTTCAAGGTGCGCCAAGAACTTGCTCGCAGTGGTGCTCGCAGAGGAGTGGTAAGCTCTCGTGTGTAGGTGGGCTCAAAGGGGCATCTATGTTGGGGGAAGGGGGCACACGAGATGCGCGCGCAAATCTTCCGTACCAACCTTGCTGTGCAGACCACTGTCCACTCTTCGCCACCCGACGTTCTTTCCTCATCTCGTGTCCTACGTTCCGACGGGACTGACGAGACGTTTCTGCCGGAGGGATCGAAAATTTGCTCGGTAATGCAACCAACACTACGACACATGTGCCCTTAACAATACTTCCAACATATTATAGAATATTATAGAAAGAAATGTTTACTTCAACTTTAAAACTTTTATATCAAACTTTTAGTTAGCCTATTGATATTGAAAATAAGTTCGGTTTTTTGCGTTTGACAATCTCTCAAGAAAAAGTTCGTTCGAAGATAAGAAAATTAAACAGAAATGAACACAATATGATCATGATGAAAGTATTCATAACTCGAACATAATCACATTATGTAAACAGGGATGTTTCAGTTCCCAGAGGGCTAGTTCTCTTGTCCCCAAGGAGTCGCAGGACCGAAAGAAACCGACGATGAGCGGAAAGCGTAGAAGCGGGGAAGACTCGAAGACCATCAGACTGCTTGACGGACGCGAGGATCAATATCCTCCGATACCATACTCCGAAAGCTATATACGAACCCATTTCCACCGCCAATAAAACGCCATACCTACGTGTATTGCGCTATTCGGGCGATTCTCTTCCTGGCCTCCTATTGGCCGTAAAACACTGGTCGGCTGAAAGGTTGAATTTTATCGCGGGGAAAGAAATATCGATGTAAAGGAGAGCAACTCAGGGCGGTACGGTATGTACATATATATACAAACAGTCGCTATGTCTGTTGCGCGTTACGATAAATGTGTCGGTGAAACGTTTCGCGTTTTCCATGATCTTAAAATGAGAAAACATAGAACAATGTTTATATTCTTAAAAGTGCTTGTGTTTTTAATTAGAATAACAAAATTAGAGCATAAAGATTAGTCCGTTTGCACAATCAGTTAATAAGTATAGTAAATAAAAAGTATTTGTATAATTTCTAATTAATTATGTCTATAATATGATAAATATATACATATTCGATAATATAAGGTAGAATAAATTTCACGAAATTGCAAACAATAGTTTTATGGAAAATCGATACGGATTAAAAATATACTGAAAAATTTTGAACTCATAAAGTGCATAATATAATATATTGATAAAATTTCTTGTAACCTACATTTAAATTGTCACATCTAAATTAAACAAGAGATAATATATAATACCTAATTATTTAATCTCTTTCTCTTTTAAAATATTCGTGAAATCTAGTTTTAACCGCGAGTACACCGGGATATATTCCGCAAACGGAACGCCGAGATAGAAGAATCCCGTGATAGAAGAATCCCGTGAATATAGATAAGACAAGCTTGCGCGCGATCTCATTGGAAGATCTGCGGCTCCAATCATAAGACGTACCGATATCGCGTTACGCTATGATATGACATTATCATAACGCGGCCGGTTTATTATTGGTCGCGGGTGCGCCCTACTCTGCCTCCTTCGCTCCTTCCTTTCTTCCGTTCTTCCAGTCACCCCCGAACTGTATCTCGACGCATACGTATCTCGGTTGGTGAGGTGGGGCTCAGAACCCCCTATTCCGCTACCACCCCGCTGCCAACTGCCGCTTCCCCTTCTAGCCCCAACCGTTCTGCCGCCATCTCCCCGCCGTCCTGGCCACCCTCCACCCCCGCCCGAATTATGAGGATCAATACACGAGGAAGCTTGCAAGGGCAGCGCCGACGCTACTCGTTTGTCGACCTTCTTCGAGCGTGGACCTTCTTCGTCTCACTGGACATCCGTAGGAATGACGGCATCTCAGTCGCTAACTTCCTCGCACATACCATTTTTTTATTTTAACTGTCCTATCCTTTTACACGACTGTCTGCACACATATTGTTATATGCTCGTGCAATATAATATGCAATATAGTAATTGTGTAAGGTTTATTTTTTATAATATTAAATTTTATACCTTCTCTTCATTTATGATCGATGAAACTCTGAGAGGAATTGTAAAATAAAATTGTCAAACTTTTACAAAAAGTCTAAAAAGATTTTTAACTTCTTCAACTAGGCCACGTGTCGGCTTTCTTTGTCTCCCTAAATATTCGTGCGAGTGATGGCACTGCCTTCGCTTCCTTACACACGTAGTAGGTAGTCATTTTTGTTTTGCTCCGATATTCTGTCTTCTTTGTATAGATATACGTGTGTGTGTATTTGTATATGTGTAAAATACTTTCTTAAATATAATATTATAATAACGTTGAACGCATATTCATTTTAATTTTTATATGACATTACATATTATTCTATATTAAGCATATATCATTATCCATTATATATAATTATTTCAATAAAATATTAAATTTGTAAAATTACATAAATATAAATAAAGAAAATAAAATAAAAAGAACTCTTTGATCATAATATGTAAGTCTATTCCAATTTTATTAGTATTTCTATATTTACATGACTCATCGATCTTAAATGAACTGCAGAAGATATAAAATTAAATATTATAAAAAATAAACGTTTACAATTATTTATATTTCATTTACAGTGCAAAAGATATCAAATTATTGCTTTTATTATTAATTTATGCGTATACAAAGATTTAAGATTTTTAATGTAATATTGACACAATCCTCAAGTTGAACAACTCTTTCTGCTACTTTTTAACCGAGTATGATAATGATAATCAATTCATAAGTATCTGATACCTGATATTTTAAACTATTTTAATTAATTTGGTAGTAATTACGTTAATGTAAACGATACAAACGTATGTACGTATATTTGTTAACATTCTCATACATAATATTTCTCATAAAAAATATTTCTAATAAAATTCATTTTATAATATCTCTCTCAAGAAATTGCGAAGTATTGCTCATAATAGTCATAATTTAATTTTTGTAATAGCAAATGAATAAACTACCCCCTATATTTATAGAAATGTACTTAACAGTAGTTTCTTATTCAATTAATAATATCTAATTTAAATAAAATACATTAAATATAAATAACTAAATATTAATATTTATTATATTATATATATATATAAAACATATATATTCTAAATTATTAATTAAATATATATTTAAGTTTCGATATCTTATGTGTGTGTGCATGAGATGTGTTTCTTTTACAAAATTATTTTTTAACAAGCATTCTTTTATCGATTTTATCGATGCAACTTTCGTCTTTTCTCAACAATAATATATCGAAGTAATTGTATGCTGAGATTCAAATTAATTAAATTATTTTACTTTACTAAATAATTTTTTCGATATTTTTGTCTAAAAAAGATGAATTTTTGTTATTAAAAGATCATATCGATGAAGTCAATGAAACAACATACTAAAAATAGTTAAAGATTGAAAATTCTTTTTAAACAAATGATGAGATATATAAATATTAAATAAAAAAGAAAATAGACGATCATAAAGTCAAATAAATTAATTAGTTTAAATTGAAGTTGATTGGAAAATTCGAGAGGTTTAAGTGTAAGAGTAATATTTATTTTTGCATTCTGACTCTAATTGAATCTCCTCTTTTTATTGTGATATTAAATATTAATTTAAAAATAATCTTTATATAAAAATTGAATATTTCACTTAATAATAATCTTTCTGTACAGCATTCAAATAGCGAAATTCGCAAATATTATTGTTTATATTTATATGAAAATTATATTATTATATATGTGAAAATGATTGCAAGTCCTTTTCTTCAATGAAGCCTATTGTATAAAGTGCCTACGAGGATGCCTATATATAACAGCAATAAGAGAGATACACAAACTCGGCACGAAGCACCCGCATAGTCTCATATGTGCGTGGCTAGCATTATATCGCAGAACAATCGATACATACGTCAGCACACGATAGAGCTCGAATTCCCAGCCCCTGTTGGCCGAACTAAGCCAACCAACCCTGCACTACCACCGTTCGACGACCACAAACTGCCTAGTTCTCCAACATTCGCGTGTCACTTTGCATATCTTACAAGACGACGACCACAATCTCAAAACCGTTCGAGCCACCTGTTCTCTATACATGGTAGAGTGTCCGCAAAAAGATCTTGATCTCTACTTCTAAAGATCGCTTCATCCAAATTTTCTCTTTTACACGTGATACGTAATAATTCACATAATTCTAAAATACCTCTAAAATCTTATATCTCTGCCGTACTGTAACCTTTAACTTTTAATAAATTTTAAGAATCAAATTGGAAAAATGATTATATTATATATTCAATATGCTCGTTGACTCCGACATTTATTGCTGGTACTAACACGTATCAGCATGCACAATACAATTGTCAAAAACATTTTTTCAACTACGGATGTTTCATCCATTACAATGCTTGTAGTATCTTCAGTCAAACGCGACGGCCACGTTATAACCTAGAGATGTCCCTAAGAAAGCATCATTCCAGAAGCAGCATTTGAAAGATGCTAGAGGATGTTAGTGGTCCGTCAGTCGGGCGAATATAGGCGTAGGTATAGTTCGTCGGTGGTAGTAAAGTAGTGGAGAAAACGGGTAGGAACCGTCCGCGGGAAAAAGGAGAAAAGGGAGTGAATTTTTTATCGGTAAAAACTCCATTAGAGAGAGAGAAGCGACGGTGTTTGTTATTGGTCATCCTCGGGGAGAAGATAGAAAGGGTAGGGTAGAGGGCCTTGTCCGGCGCAGAGATATCCATCGATCCGAAGGACGGTAGATCCGCCACCATCCTCGATTCTACCCCCTTCTTACATTCTATATCCTAGGGAGGATCCTCCTCCCTTTACCCACTGTCGGCTTCTATGATGGTGAAACGGAGAAAGATGGAGAGAGAGAGAGAGAAAGGGAGAGAAGCGTTTCGTCCCTTCCTACGGGAGCTCTACGTACGTACGCAGGCAAGCATCTACAATGTTCCTTTGGCGCGGGTGGTATCAAAGAAATCAATTACCCAGCAACACACACGCGAGTCCTGCAGCCGATCTCCACACGGTCCACCCAAAATTCCCCACTACGGAGGCAGTACCGAGCACTCACGCCCTCTCTCCAAGCGTCCATCTTTTCTGGAGTGCCACCCCCTGCGTCTCACATATTTATTTTATACTGCCCGCACCTTGTACGACCATTCCACAGCCCCAGGATGGAATTCTTTATCAAGCCGCTCTCCCAACATAGAACCTCCGTCTATCGTTTCGATCGTACGCTCTCTCGATTGAATCGAGGCGATATTGAATTGTCGAGCACGTTTTTTCACAAAAGCTATGCACTAGCATTTTGATTTTAAACGATCCAATCGTGATTTACGTGTCATAACTCGTTAGGTTTGAAATTGTCTATTGTTGAATAAATGACAAAAAATATATATTTCATATATGCTCTTTTAGCAGTAATCAAATACATAAGATACATTCTTTCCTTTGATTCAATTGCGAATCTAAACGTCACGACACATGCATCGAAAGCTTCGTGACACACTTGAGATCGTATCCGTTTATCAAATTACGTATCTAAAGCATCTCATGACAATACATAGTATTAGTCTAAACTAAAAATGGTCCTTCGTAGTAGCGTCGCCTTCGAGAGACAGGCTCGGAATCAAATGGATTGCGAATGGACGGAGAACAGTGAGATCTAGGAGCGAACGAGAGGAGACAATGGTAATAGTATAAGAGAAGAAAAAGAAAGAAAGAAACAAGAAGAAAAAGAGAGAGAGAGAAAGAGAGAGAGGATAGATGGGACAGACAACAGAAAAGAGAAAGAAGAGAGGAACGGAGAAAAACAGAGCCTCAATGTGGCGTGGGAGGATAGAGGACGGCCGTCGGAATAGCCTCAACTGGACAGCACGTGGACGACTGGACTACCTACTTTTATATCGCTCGGGAAATAATGGGATTCCCATCATGAAGTGGATTTCCCTTGGGAGCCAGTGGACATCGATGCACCCGTCAAGAGATCCAACACCATCCGACGCCCGTATCCTCTATCGGTCTCCCGCACCCCCGACGTTCATCATTCGTGCCCTCCCATACTCATTCACCTGTTCGGAGCTCGCGTCGTCCCGCGTTACACTTTGTTGCGTTAGAAAAATGACCGGAGCTAAGTTCGGAGGATCGTAATGGTATCTCAATTAATTTAATCGATCAAATTTCTCGTATAATGAATTCTTTTTCTTACTTCTGACTTATATATGTTATACCATTGGTGAAAGTCCTGATAAATCAAATACTTTAGACTTTTATTTGGCATTTAATCTATTCGTTAGTTAGACCGTTAAATCCTTAAATTATTACTAATTTTAAATTTTGTCGATAACAATGCATAAATTTTATAAGTTTTATATGGAAATCTTTTGACTTATTTTAAATTTTAGTACACATAAACGAAGAAGGCCTTATTCGGTTAAAGCAAATCTTGTTGCCTAATAATATTTTACATATATGAATTTTTACAATTTCTGATTTTACAATTTATTACGTACTCCAGCTTCAATTTTTCAAGATCAACAAATAATAATCGGCGCGCAGTCTGCTTAAACTGGAAATTGTAAAAATTTACAATATAATTATAATATATAAATATTAGACACTAAAACACGCTTTGACCGAATATAACCTTCTTCGCTTATTTGTGTTGAATATTTCTCGATCGATTTTAATTTATTGTTTAAGTTTCAATGATTAATACATACGTTTTTCTAATTATTTAAATTTATTTAATTTTATTTATTATTTAATTTTTAATGATTTAAATGATTTTTAAAATACCTCACAAGCAAACATATATTTTTTCGAGTTTGATAAGTTCTGAATAGATATATAGATTTGTCTATATAGATAAAAATGTAAGTGTTTTATTATTATTAAGTGTTCTTATGTACATTAAGAAATAAAATATTCTTTTGAACAAAAAATAACTTCAAAATATTTTGAAATACACATCGTTAAAACAGTAAAAAATATAATGATTCAAACAAAGATTTTCTAAAAGCTTTACATAAGGATATATTAATATTTCTCTAAAATGTTATATTTTTCAAAATATTCTTACCATTTATTGTTGTTTCTAATAATAAAAATTTCCTACAAAGTTAAAGCTTTGTGAAGACAAATTTAATCGTGCATAAAAAATTAAATGTTAAAATATATATATATATATACATTATGTATGACGTACATATATTCTACGATTTTATAAGTCTGCACATTATATGTATATTATTCATAAAAGTTTACGATTATAATACTAAATACAAAATCGTTATTATACACTAGAGCCATCTCACTATATGTATGCTGTTTATTTTCTCAGAAAAGATAATAGCAATCGATAAAAAAAGCCTATCGAAGACTTTAAGAGCCTCGATTTATCTTTGAAATTATTACAAAACGATTACCTTCGGGAGGTTTATCGATTGAAAAGAACTAACAACGTTACTAATTGAAGGTAACTAAATTTACTTATTGCGTGAATATAAGTCCACGTTTACTTGTATAAAGAAAAATACAAATTTTATATATTATATTAATTAAGAAAAGATATACCGTCAAGTATCTTTATATATGTATGTAAGCTTTTATATACTCAAATAACCAAACATGTCAGCATATTTGACCACGTTAAGTTCGTTGTACCAATACATTATACTAGTTAATACGTGTAGTCATTACCTATGTCATCTTGTATGATAAAGCAGATGATAATTACGTTTAGCAGAGAAAACTGATCAGTGAGTGCTCAGTGATTCTTTAACATGATTGATTCCTACATTTCGATCCAGCGAAGAACTAAAGATAAGAACCAATCATGTTAAAGAATGTTTTCTCTGTTGAACGCAACCAACAGGTGCATTCAATGGACTTAACAGTTGAGTGAACACTTAATGCTATTACTAGTATATTCTTTTATATCATCTAATCATTTAGATCTAGAGAAGAATACACCAATTGCAGAGAGCGTTTATTCGATTGTTCTCAACATACCATTTTTGAGAGTCTTATTTTTATGATAGTAATTTTTATAATTGTAATTTTTATGATAGTAATTATTAAAAACAAAATAATTTTTCATAAGCAATGAATCGTCTCGTTTTAAAAGCAAAACATGATTTTTCAGACATAACTTGATTTATTTATGAAATATAGATTAGAACAATTGCCAATGAGAACAACATCAATATATCAATATCAATATCAAATAATGATCGTGTGTATAAATCTATTTAATACGTGCAAGAGTAACAACAATAGTAAATCTTTCGATTCAAATTCGGATTTTTCGCAGAACATGAATTATAGATATCTAATTTATTTAGGAGGATCCGAATTAGTAATTGGCATAATCGATTATTTGTTAGAAAAAGATTATTATATGAAATAAACACGATTGTATTGATTGCGCTTTTCGACTATATAGTGCAATTAATTGGGTACAAATAATTTTGTCTGTCACTTCTATCGATTCTCAAGACTATAAATAACTAATTAATTTTGTAAAGTGATAAATTATTAATTGATTATGCCCATCATTATGAATTAGAGTTAAAATGTTTAATATTGTTAATTTATTCATGTAATAAATGGACTTATACACACGAGCTTCTAATATAATGTGTAGCTCTTATTAACAATTATTTCTAATTTATATTTCATTTTTAACCCTTAAGTTTATTGTCCTATATATCCTATATACAGGGTAGCCCATGTAAAGAGTTACAAGCTATTATCTCTGAAAGGGTGTGTTAAATGACTAATATGTTCAGACAAAAGTTTTATGACTTTGTGGAGAGCATAAGATGGTACCGTTTGTTTGACCTTGGATAGCATTGTCAAAGTGAGAGCAAGGCTACTTTGAATTTTTTAGATGGAACTCGCCATTTTTTATTACATTTTCTTGTAGCTTACCTCGAGCTTATACAGTCGGCATTAGCATTACGCAAGTTGTTCGACCGACAGTTAGAACCTTTTGAATGTTGTTCAGGATCATGTCCTGGGTAACATTTGTCAAGATCAAGGTCATTGGAGATTATTCCTCTTATTTTCATTTTTGCACTAAAAATTCATTTTTACATAAAAAATGAAAATAAGAGGTACAATCACCAATGGCCTTGATCTTGATAAATGTTATCCAGGACATGATCCTGAACAATATTCAACAATATGAACAAGAGGTTTTAGTTGTTCGTCGGTCGGACAACTTGCGTAATGCTAATGTCGGCTGTACTGTAACTTTCGAGCCTTATAACTCAAAAAATACTTAATGAAAAAATATTTTATTATAGTGTTTTGGAAAGTTCTCGAGGTAAGCTACAAGAATACGTAATGAAAAATAGTGGGTTTAATTTAAGAAATTGAAGGTGACCTTTTCATGTGACCTTCAAGCAACTATCCAAGGTCAAACCAATGGTACCATTTTATAGTCTCCTTGAAACCATACAACTTTTGTCTGAAACATTTTCTTGTAAAATGGACAAAATGGTACCAAAAAGCGATAATTATTAAATGCACTTGGAAATTGATAGTTTACCTTTAAGATAGCAAGCAAGCGGCAAATGATACGAATTGCGAAGATGATGAGATGAACCAAAGAAAATCAACTGAACAGAGGTGGACTTGCAATACTGATGTATATTAATCGTATATTTCACACATTACGAATTTTTGATACCTTACAGAATGCTCACGCGACTACTTCTCGCATATAAAACACATTTTCTAGATTATTCTAGAAGATATTAATTACGTACATTACAGATCGCGAGAGAAACAAATGACATGATTGCGGCGCAGTGATCTATCGAACGATATTGCGATTCTCGAAGTGTCGGATGGTCAAGATATCGAATCGATCGTAACGATCACTTTTGTTAAGTTAGGTTGACCAAGGGGTTAAGTTAGGAAAGACCAAGCCAGAGAGGCCAATTCTTTGATTAGGTTATGAAATAACTAATAATATAAAAGGTCTATTTTCTGACTGAACTAGTAAACATTTTTGGAACTTAAAGTAAGATAGATATATGTTTGACGAAAGCGAGAAAGAGAGTTTTGGTGCAGTCTTATGCAAAAATATAAAACAGACTTAAAATGTTCAAACAAATTTTTCGATCTTTCGGGTCGTATAGTTTAAATCAGATTTTACCGGGTAAGCAAAAACAATTGGTTTTTTTCTCTTCTATTTGAATATTGGACAACATTAACTTAAAAAAGCAACAATTCTAGTATTGTTAACCTTCAATTGGACTATTAACAATATAATGTTATGTAGCTATGTAACATAATGTCATCTATAATTGTGCACTAATATCTCACAATATTAATTTTTTTATGCAGATACATCAAAAAAAGTTACCACAATATATCTCAGTGTCATTCAACATCGAGATACTCGGACGTTTAGTACCATCACATCTACGAAAAAATGGGATTTATACAGCGCTGTTTGTTTAGAACGTCATCCAGTTATAATACAATCAATGCAAGAAATAGAGCTGAAATTTTATAATATGTTGAAAAAAATTGAATATGAAAATAGTTTCAAATCTGATTACGAATTGAGAAAAGAAAAAGAGAGAGAGGAACAGAAAAACCCAAGCAGCAAGGAAAATACAATAAAAACCTTAGTACAAACTGCACAGGATTTTGAGGATAGTGGTCAAGAGGAATTAAACAATTTTAAATTTGCGCCAACAATTACAAGTATGCATTAATTTTCTTTTCATAATAGAGCGTAACATTTTATTAAAAAAGCAGAATATATGTTTATAAAATAAATCATATACAAATCTTTATTTCGTGAATCATAAAAGAAATTATTTTATGTATTATAAGTTTTAATACTATTTTTCTTATAAATAAGTTATTTATATGCATTATTTTTAGAATTTGACGAACAAAATGTAACGTCAACTTTAAAACGTAAATTGGATAAAAATTTGCTTTTATTAGTACAACAAAAAGTAGGCAATTCACATTATTGGATACCTCCACAAGGCATTCGAAAGGAAGGAGAGACAATGAGACAAGTATGTTTTCAATTTTTTTTGTACGACTAACTTGATATGTGTGAATACTTCAGCAAGGACTAAAAATATGATTTGGTTAAAAAAAAATTCTTTTGCAGACTGCAGAGAGAGTATTACAAGATGCATGTGGTGCAAATATTAAAGTGAAGTTTTATGGTAACGCACCTATCGGTTTTTATAAGTACAAATATCCCAAAAAGCTTTGCGAGCAAGAAAGTTATGGTGCTAAAATATTTTATTTCTTGGCAAAATATATAGATGGAGATATCACCAATAATGTAAAGTATCAGTGGTTGGATAATGAAGAATTAGAAAAAGTGTTACCTAATGGAGTACAAGAAAGTATTTCACGATTTATGTTATTTACTTAAATATAAAATATTGAATTTATTCTTCGTTTTCTTATTGTTAATATAATCTATTTCTAGTAATATTAATATTATTAAGAATTCCTAATACTCTTTTAATATTAAAATGAAGGAACATATATGAGGAGCAGATTTTCAAAATGCGTTTTGTCCAAAATTTGTAATTTTCAGAAAACGAGAAAGAAACTAGGCACGCAAGAAAATTATGCATTTTACAGAAAATAATAATAGGCCTGTTCTTTTTAGCTGAACTTTGTACCAATTCATCTTTCTTCCTTTCTTCTCCAGGAGGAAAGAAGAGGAAGAAAGATGAACTGGTACAAAAGTTCAGCTAAAAAGAACAGGCCTAATATGCCAATCAGTATATGTGAAATATTAAACAAAGTTGCTAAACAATTACTAAAAATATTAAACAAATGCATTTTGTTTGTCTTTAATTAAAAAACATAATGCACTTTGAAATGTCTGTTTTTTCAGCACATAAATTAATGATGAAAAAATGCTTTCTGAACATCTCAGAGTAGCTTATACTACGAGTCTTTCAACACTGAACATTATATCTCTAACTAAAAAAATAAAATTTTTTACAAACGCATTTTGAAAGTCTGCTCCTCATATATATATTTTCATTGCCATAAAACACCTTAATAATTTTGAATTATTGTAAATAATATAAAGTTGATAACATTTTAATTGTTGTCTCTATATATCATTAATCTAATATTTGAAAATAACATAAACATGATAATTTCTTTAATAATAAAGATATGTTCAAAATATTTCCATAAAATTTAATAATTAACTATACATAAATGTATTTATCGGAATATTATATACATCTATATATATATATATCATTTTTTTAACACCTCTATTATCAAAGAAGCTATCATATTCATATTATTTTAAAATATTAAATTGATGATAGACAAAAATTAAGATTTTATAAAATTTATTATTTATAATAATTCAAAATTATTAAAGTATTTCATGTTAATGAAGTTATGTGTAATGAAGTACATTTTAGAATCGGCCAGATCTCTTTCGTCCAGTATATTTGGAATTATCTCTAACTTCTTTTCCTTGCCGTCGCCGCCTTTCTTTCTTTTCTAAAATCCATTCTCTACTTTTCTTCAGTGGTTTACCTCTGGCTTTCTTTATGTATTCCCTATAATATAAAGTGCGTAAAAAAATGACTATTTTTGGAAAGTTAAAAATATATATATAGTTTAAAAATATTTTTAAAAATGAGAGATTGCAAATTACAAGATAATAAAAAATGAATAACAAGAAATTCAAACCTTTTAGAATTAGCGACAGTTTGTCTATCTTCGTTATCTACTCCTAATGCCTTCGGAAGCGGAGCAGCTCCCCCAGTCATTAAAACTAAGAACATCTTCTTTGCTTTTGTGCTATTTGGAAAATCAACGACCACACCGCCAAAAAAGCCAGCTTTTGTAGCTTGTGCTGTGATTAATTCAACCTGTTCACTGTTCTCTGGATAAAATTGTAGTACTGCTCTTGCATTCCTTGATAGACATGCATACAATGTTGAGAAGAATTGATATAAACGTTTCGTAGGATTGTGTGAAGCTTTGCTTGCATAACATAACCATTGAAGTGCAGATATACTAATAGCTCCATCAAATGTACCAGCTTTAAATGGCAATCCTTGACCTACATCTCCCAGGATCAAGTCACCATCTATTTCTCTTTCAATAGCGACATCTAAAATAATATATTAATATGATTTTGTATACATACTATATATATATATATATATAATAAACTTTTTAATGAAGATTTTGTTCGAAATGTGCACCTCTTGCAGCAATACAAGCATTGCATCTGTCAAACACGGCTCTTGTAGCAGCCAGGCACTGTTCTTGCGATATTCTGTTCGCTGCAGCTACGATACGATTTCTCAAATGTTGCTCTGATTGAATAGGCGAAGAATAAACTTCTTGCTTCAGAGTACCCCATGCATAGAAATCTAATGGCGTTAAGTCGGGCGAACGAGTTGCCCAATGTACTGCTCCTCCACGTCCAATCCATCGTTGTGGGAATTTTCTATCTAACCAGGTTCTAGCGACTCTGCTGTAATGAGCAGGGCATCCATCTAATTGAAACCACATTTCAGTACGTTGTTGTAATGGGATGTTTTCTAAATAGTCAGAAAATTCATTCTCCAAGAAATTTAGAAAACGGTCCCCATTTAATCTTGCAGGTAAAAAAAACATTTTTTTTCGATTTCTCTGAAACGGAGCAAAAACGAGCATATGTCTATAGGACTTTTTTTCTTAGTTTTTTACTCCTCTACACGCTCCCGAAGTTTTGCGATTTAATTTGGAAACACCCTGTATATATGCATTTAATACTACATGCTATAGAAAATATTGTTAAACTATCAAAATTAAAATATTTACCAAGCATAGCCGAAGAAATATCAATGCCTATCCATACATGTCCCTGATCTTCCAATACGCTACCACTAAGGCCTGATCCACATCCGATATCCAAAAGTAAGCAGCTCTGATCTTCAGGTAACAAAAGAAGTTCTATAGCACGTTCAGACATGTGTATTTGGATTTCTATCATACGAGAACTGTAAAAAAAAGGATATTACATAAATTTTATTACAAAGATGTAATAGATGTAGGTACATAATTTGTATAAAAATTATGAGACGTACCTTAGAGTATATTTATTAGCTTCTTTTTCATCATAATACTGTTACAGAAAAAATGGAATTAGCTTCTCCTTCGATTTATTAATATAATTTTTTACCTTTTATTAATTATAAATGAAAAAATATATAAAGTCAATGTGTGAGAGAGTTTACAATGTAGTTTTAATAAAGTTTGCAACTTACCACTTCAGGTGGTGCCATAAGCTCTGGACGCTTAGACATTTTGACTAACGATATTTATTCGCTTTTCAGTTCAATTTTTATTTTCTTTTATATCTGTTTTAAACTGTGTTTTGTTCCATTAATGATTAAATGACAATTAACCTCTAATAATAAAAATAACTTTAATTAGCATCAATATTATTGTATTGTTAATATTTCTAATTGACTTTTAATATTTCTAATTCTTATAAGATTTCCAATTTGTTTGAGAAGTCAATATTTTTTTTCCAATATGCCAACAGTATTTTTAACAAATACACGTGTCTCGTCGAACACATAATAGAACCTAACCTAATTTTAGACAGTTGACATAAAGCTGTGTTCCACTTAACGCTCAGAACGCTCGCAAGCATCGTTTGTCCTTGTTTAATATTTGATAAATGACAAAGATGAAATGATTCCACGAGCGTTGTGAGCGTTAAATGGAACGCAGTCCATAGATTTGTTCTTTTTGCTTGTACTTTCCGAACACAGGGCGATTTAGCCATTTAGCGGGCTCAACAGTTGAGTGAGCGCTCGCTGTTATTGGTCGCGTTCAGCAGACTCAACTGTTGCGGAGCGGATCAATGAGCTCTCGCTGCTATTGGATGATCTAAAAGAATACACCAATAGCAGTGAGCGCTCACGGATCCGCTCCGCAACAGTTGAGTCTGCTGAACGCGACCATTGATGTATTCTTTTAAATCTGAACGTCTGATTGGATGATCTAAAAGAATATCAATAATAGTGAGTTCTACTATTGGTTGACATTACATGGTTGTGCGTTAATAATTCAACCAGATTAGAGCAAACACGCTCGGCCCTCAGATAAAAAATGCTAATAATTGATCGATTTTATATGATTCCGCAAATGATATTAAATAATCCTTTAGAAACGACTTCGATCAAATTCCAATTAATTTAATTAATAATTAATTTAATGAAGCGATGCAATTATTTACAGTAAAACTTTTCATTTTTTCCTTATCCGTAATCTAATTTCTCTTTCAACGCCAAACATTAATAATACTTCTAGTTTTTATAAATATTGCAGAGATCACTCAATTAAGTTTCATCACTCTAATGTTCATTGTAAAAAAATGTAGAGAACTTTAATTCTCGATTTTATTCTTTTTTTATAACTTTTTTACCTTTAGTTCTAAAAACAGAAAAAAATAAAAATTAAATCGAGATTAAAATTAATTTGTACTGGTGAAATAAACTTGTTTTATGTCCATTTCTACCAATGTATTATAGATTAATTTTAATCTTTTTTCTGTATAAAGTGTTGCTTTATAAAATCAAAATAGTCAATTAGAAAGTTTCGAAAATCAATGTTGAAAATTGTTGCATATATTATATATGTTGCATATATTTTAGTCTGTTTTTTTATTCCTGCACTAGAATTCTCTTTCTCGCTTTCGCCAAATATTAAATATACCTATCTCATTTCAAATTCTAACAGAGTAAGTTCAGCTACAAAAAACAGACTCATTGTTGTATCGTTGTACGTATGCCTTGTAAAATTAGAATAAGTCGCAATCAGAAATGTATACAATAATTCATATGATGTAATTGAAAAAGAAAAGTCTATAAGAATACAAAAAAATTCTTTTTTTTAAACTCATTGTAGATAATGTATAAAGCGTGCGAAATTCTCAAAATTTAAAAAAAATTGTTACTATATTTTACAACATATAGTAATTGTGTTATATGATAAATACTTACGACTTAAATAATTAATGTTTTCGTATATCTGTTATGTTTTTAATTTATAAGTTTAATTTTCAATATATATATAATTATACTACAAAATATTTTCATCAAAATGCATCTGCAATTGTGCACTTCAAATATTCTTAAAAATAACGCATATTAATTTCATTTTGCATCGATAAATGATTACAGAACTTTTCGTAATTTTAAGTATGATTTTATATATTTTATATATAACATATGCAGTTCACTTAATGGTATTGATAATACACGTATAAATAAAGGACATTTACGTTTATTATATTCAGTTTATACGTTCAGTCATAAATATTATTTATATGATATATAAATACAATAGACACACAATGGTCCATCCCTTCAAGGT